TAGATAAATAAAATGTGCTATATCCATACAATGGGATATTATCCAGCCATAAAACACAATGAAGTAGAGAGCCTTGGAGAAAATATGGTGGAGTAGGAAGGTAAGGCAGAAACCTCTTCACATACACAAAGAAGCAACTACAGCAAATACAACTAAACCTGAAAATGAACTGAAGACTGCAGAACAGACAACCTATACCTGGGGAAGAAGAGAAGACCATACAGAAGAGGGTAAAGTAGTAGAGCCATGACCCATCAGGACCCAAGCCATTTCCCCATCCCAGCCCACAGGCAGGAGGAAGAACCAAGCAGGAAGGGGATAGGCACTCAGGAACTGCACACACCTGGCCCTGGAGATATGCTCCAGGAACATGCGTCCACATTGCACTGGGTTCTGGGTATTAGCGGGGCTGTACAGTACCAGGGACAGTTGGAACACTCTGGGAGGCTGAGACACCAGCCACTTGTGGAGGACAGGCACACTCCATTACCATAGGACTCCTTTTTCGTAAAGCCATTACTCTAGAACAGGAAGCATAGAGGATCTATCTAATACAAAGGAAGAAACACAAGAAATCCAGACAAAATGAGGAGGCAGAGGAATATGTTCCAAACAAAATTCCAGGATGTGACACCAGACAGAGGGCAAAACAAAACAGAGATCACTGATCTTCTTGATTAAGATTTCAAAGTAACACTCATAAAGATGCTCAATGACCTGCAGAAAAGAATTGATGAACTCAGGGAGAACATCCACAAAGAGATAGAAGAGCTGAAAAAGAGCCACTCAAAGCTGAGGAATACAGTAACTGAAATGAAAAATACAATGGAAGGAATGAATAATACATTGCTGCAAGTAGAGGAGATAATCAATGAGATGGAAATTAAAGAACAGGGACAAAACAAAGCTGAAGAACAGAAAGAAGAACCTCTAGAAACAGGATGCTAAGAGAGCTGTGTGACAACTCCAAATGAAACAATATTCACATAATTGTACCAGAGGAGAAAAGAAAGACAAAGGAGTGTAAAGTCTCTTTGAAGAAATAATTGCTGAAAAGTTCCCCAATTTGAGAAAGAAATACATAATCAAGATGAGAGAAGAAATAAATAAAATAGAGAATAAAATAATAAAGAAAAATCAATGTAACCAAGAGCTGATTCTTTGAGAAGATAAACAAACCCCTAGCCAGACTTACCAAGAAAAAAAGAGAAAGGACACAAATAAACAAAATCAGAAACAAAAAAGGAATAGTCACAATGGATACCACAGAAATACAAATAATTTTTAGAGGATTTTATGAAAAATTATATGCCAATTAAGTTGGACAACCTAGAAGTGGTCAAATTCCTAGAAAAGTACAATCTTCCAAGACTGACCCAGGAAGAGAAGAAAACCTGAACAGACCAATTACCAGTAACGAATTGAACTGGTAATCAAGAAACCCCAACAAACAAAATTTCCAGGTACAGATGGCTCCACAAGTGAATTCTACCAAACATTTAAAGAAGAGCTAATACCAATCCTTCTTAAAGTGTTCCACAAAATGGGAGGGGACACTTCCAAACTCATTCTATGATGCCAGCATCACTCTAATACCAAAACCACACAAAGACACTACAAAAAAATTTTTTTTAACCAATATCCCTGATGAACCATAGATGCAAAAATCCTCCACAAAATGTTGGCAAACCAAATTCAAAAATACATCAACAGGGTCATCCATCACATCCAAGGCAAATTTATTCCAGGGATGCAAGGATGGTAAAATATTCATAAATCACTGTCATATACCATATTAACAAACAGAAGGATAAAGGCCACATGATCATCTCAAAAGATTATGGGAAAGCATTTGACAAAATTCTACATCCATTCAAGATAAAAAACTCTCCACAAAATGGGTATAGAGGGTATGTGCCTCAACCTAATAAAGACCATATATGACAAACCCACAGCCAACATTATACTCAATGGGGAAAATCTAAACACTTTTCCTCTAATATTGGGAGCAAGACAATGTCCACTCACACCACTTTTATTCAACTTAGTACTGGAGGTCCTAGCCATGGCAATCAGGTGAGATCAAGATAAAAGGCATCCAAACTGGCGAGGAAGAAGTAAAGCTCACTATTTGCAGATGACATGATGTTACATATAGAAAACCCTTAAGATTCCACCAAAAAACTACCAGAACTAATAACTGGATTCAGCAAAGTTGCAGGATACAAAATTAATGCACAGAAATCTGTTGCATTCCTATATATTACCAATGAAGTAGCAGAAAGAGAAATCAGGAAAACAATTCCATTTACAATTGCATCAAAAAGAATAAAATACCTAGAAACAAACCTAATCAAGGAGGTGAAAGACCTCTATTCTGAAAGCTATAAGACACTCATGAGAGAAATGTATCCTGTGCTCATGGATAGGAAGCATTAATATTGTCAAAATGGACATCCTGCCCAAAGCAATTTACAGATTCAATGCCATCCCTATTAAGGTAGCAATGAAGTTTTTCAATGAAAACAACTAATCCTAAAATTCATTTGGAACCACAAAAGACCCCAAATAGCCAAACCAATCCTGAGAAAGAAGAACAAAGCTGGGGGCATTACACTCCCTTACTCCAAGCTATACTACAAAGCTAGAGTAATCAAAGCAGTATGGTACTGGCATAAGAACAAATCCATAGATCAGTGGAACAGAATAGAGAGCCCAGATATAAACACAGGCATATATGGTCAATTAATACATGATAAAGGAGCCATGAATATACAGTGGGAAAAAGACAGCCTCTTCAACAACTGGAGAGCTACATGCAAGAAATGAAACTAGATTGCTATCTAACCCCACACACAAAAGTAAACTCTAAATGAATCAAAGACCTGAATGTAAGACATGAAGCCATAAAATTCTTAGAGGAAAACATAGGCAAAAATTTCCTGAACATAAGCATGAACAATTTTTTTCTGGACACATCTCTCTGGGCAAGGGAAACAAAATAAAAAATAAACAATTGGGACTATATCAAATTAAAAAGCTTCTGTACAGCAAAGGATACCACAAACAGAAGTAACAACCGACTTAATAGGAGAATATATTTGCAAATGATTTGTCCAATAAGGGGTTAACATCCAAAATATATAAAGAACTCATATACCTCAACACCAAAAAAACAAATAACCAAATTTAAAAATGGGCAGAGGACCTGAACAGGCATTTCTCCAAAGAAGAAATACAGATGGCCAACAGGCACAGGGAAAGATGCTCCACATTGCTAATCATCAGGGAAATGCAAATCAAAACCACTATGAGATATCACCTCATACCAGTTAGAATGGCCTCTCTCTATACAAAAGACAAGAAATAAAAAGTGTTGGTGAGGATAGGGAAGAAAGGAGACCCTCCTACACTGTTGAATGCAAATTGGTACAGCCACTATGGAAAGCAGTAGAGGTTCCTCAAAAAACTAAAAATAGAGTATCATACGACCCAGTAATTCCACTGCTAGGAATTTACTCGAAGAAAATGAAATCCCTGATTGGAAAAGATATATCCACTGCTGTTTTTCACCACATTATTTACAATAGCCAAGATACAGAAGCAACCAAAAGTGTCCATCAATAGATGAGTAAATAAAGAGGTGGTACATATACACAATGGAATATTATTCATCCATATACAAGAGATACTGGCATTTGCAACATGAATGGACCTAGAGTGTATTATGCTAAGTGAAATAAGCCAGGCAGAGAAAGACAAATGCCATATGATTTTACTTATTTGTGGAATTTACAAACAGAACAAAATGAACAAAACAGCAGTAGACTCATACATACTGAGGAGTGACTGGTGGTTACCATGGGAGAGGGGTTGGGGTACATGGGTGGGCAGGGTGAGAGGGATAAAGGGGCACAAAAGTTCTCAATCATAATGTAGGTTGGTCATGGGGATGGTAGTACACCGTAGAGAACATAGCTCATGGTTCTGTAACATCTATGTTGACAGATAGTAAGCACACTAGTTGGGCTAGGGATTCAGTAAGGCGGGTAACTGGTGAACCACTGGGTTATATACTTGAAATGAATGTAAGTATGTATGTCAACTATGCTTCAAAAATAAAAAAGAATAAAAAAAGAAGTACTAATACATGCTACATATCATGGATGAACCTCAAAATCATTACACTAAGTGAAAGACACCAGATACAAAGGCCACATACTGTATGATTCCACTTACATGAAATGTACAGAATAGGTAAATGCATAGAAATGGAAAGCAGGTTTGTGGCTGCCACAGACAAAGAAGAAGATGGAGTGGGGAGTAACCATTTAATGGACACAGAGTTTCATTTTGGGGTTATAAAATGTTTTAGAACTAGGTAAGAGTGGTGGTTTTATAACACTGAATGTACCAACTGTCACTGAATTGTTCCCTTTAAAATGGTCAATTTTATGTTATGTGAATTTTACCTCAATAGAAATAAATACATAAATAAACTGCAAGGGAAAAAATGTGGAGGCATATCAACCGAAAATAAAAGACATTTAAAATTCCCCAAAAGGGGGGATAGGGTAGGAAGGGAGCAAGCTGTGTTAAGAATCATCATCACATTCATATCAAACTGTCTGAACCTAGTTAAGCCACACTTCTCCATGCTATGATTCTACTTACCAACAGGAGGGGTCACTGCAAGAGTTCTAAACACCTAGCACAAAGACTAGAATTCTAGAACTCCCTGGCATTTCCCCTTTTCTGGCCATTTCATCATAAACTGGGGTCATAAATTCAAGGGCCATATTTACAAATCAAAATTTAGGATACATCCTCTGATAAGTACCAAGCACATTCCCAAAGACAATGATTCTTGCACAAAAGTCTAGGACATTTGGCTGTTGGAACTACAACTCTCTCAATGACCCTAATACTAAAGGGAGTAAAAGAATTTCAGCCCCAGAGATTTCACACATAGAAAGAGTAAAAAGCATAACTGAATTTCATTGTATTTTAAAAACATTTAAAGTATTTTATTTCCAATTCTGTTCATTTCCAATTCTGCCAAGCAGCTGAACAAGCTGCAGCATCAGCGATGCCCATGCTCACTGGGATTGGAGGACACCCCATCCCGGGAATGCCAGGCCCTTTTATGCCTATGGGATTTATCTCGACTCCTGCTTCCACTTCTATGACTACGCCCTTCTGATCGCCCATTGTGCCGGCTAGAATGGGTGTCTGAGTTCTGACCACTGTCTCTGTTCCTATTCTTTTCTTCTCTTTCTTCCTTCCTCCTTGAGGACTTGTGTTCATGCTTGGGCTTCTCCTTCTTCAGCTCCCTCTTTCGATCCTTTGCTCCACCAGGGCAGGTTGTCCCGACTTCAGGGGAGCTGGGGTGGTGCTTCTGTGTTTCCCTGGACTCTGACTTCTGACCCCTCTCCGAATTCTTGCTGCTGTGCTTTTTAGAGCCAGGGTCATCCTTTTCCTTTATCATCTTGCTTCTGGGCAATGAAGAGGTGGCTGGCTGCTCTGCCTGTACCTCCCAGTCAGTTTTCTCCTTGTCTTTCTTTCTTTTCTTTTTTCCCTTTTTGTCTGGAGGAAAAAAACAGGTGCAACGAGTAAGAAACGGAAGATAGAGCAGATGGAGGATATGTGAAAGAAAAGCATCCCTGGCAGCAATGTGAAGCAGTCATAGTCTAAACTTCCAAGAAAGTGCCTCTGAGAAGCCAGGTTGGATGTCTGTCACCCTTGATATACCAAGTTGCTATGTAAGGCAATTCAATCCTTAATTGCCTTTTTAAACACCCTATGTCCAAATACAGTCACATTCTGAGGTGAGGTACTTAGAGTTAGGATTTCAACAACATATGAATTTTGGAGACAGTACTTAATCCACAGTATTAGCCTTCTACTGATATCTCTCCTTTCCCAATTAAAGTAAGGTTCCACACTTTCCCCCTTCACACTTAAGAACTGATTATCACACTTAAGAACTGATTGCTGTAAAAAATGCTAGCAAGAACAAACACTCAAGACTCCCCAGAACCTTCTCTTGGTCTTAATGCTTTACCTTTCTTGTGTTTTTTTGTGCGTTTGTCATCTTCAGAGCTCTCATATGAACACAGTGAGGAGGTATGAATCCCACAGCCCTTCTCCTGGAGCTCTTTTGTTACATCATCAACCTCTTCTGAGTCCTTAGAAGTCCGATAGTTAGACACATGATCCACTCGGATAGTCCTTCCTTTGATCTAAGACAGACGGGCAATGATTCAGCAAAGAAAACCCTCCTATATCAAACTATCTGAACCCAGCTCCAGAAAGCCATGGTTTGAACCATACCCATTACCTGACTGTTAAATCCATTTCTGGAGAAATCTCTAAGGCAGACTTGCCCAACTGCTTATGTCACAGCACATATACCGAGATATCAATTTGCTCGGCTCTCGGGGTAGCCAGATAGGGCCTGGGGCAGCAGCTGAAGACCCCAAGGCATTTGTACTAGGCAGCCTCACCCATTCACCGCAGTGCACAATTCAAATATCTGCATGTTCTACATGTGCCATGAAAGTACAAAAAACCCAGGAAGTACTGCCCCAAAGCACAAGTAGCAAGGAAAACTTGGAGAATTTAGATGCAGGAACACTGAATAATCCTCAATCTGTAACATCAATTTACAATGAAACACACTGTGGCCTGGCAGCCAGAAGAAATTCCTGAAATTGAGCTCAATGCTACAGCTGCTTTCTCAACATAGCAATTAGGATGAAGCCAAAGCAGACCAATAGTAGGGAGGGGGAAGAAATCTTAAGCCCTCCCACCTTGCTCTACCCCCACCATACTGGAACAACTGGCTCACACTGACACTCACTGTAAATCACAACTGTCCAGGTAAACAATAATTTTTAAAAACTGGACCCCTCACTTAAAAAACACTTGGATATGGACTTATTCTACAGGCAAAGCCATCTGAAATTTGAGAATTCTCACTTTTATTGTTCTAATACAAGAGCAGGTTTATTCCTACCTTTAAGCCTGAGCAGAAGCGGCTCTAACATCTATCCTATTTCCCATTTCAAGACATTTCTGAAACCTTCCTTTTAACTTCGACTGCTAGCTCTCTTAAAAATCAAACCTAGAACTTTGTTCCACCCTGTCCTACAGTCTCTAGCTGTTCCATGCCAGTGTAATCAGTGATAAACTTTCCAAGTCAAGAGTCATCCCCCCAACCTGTGACAATGCTCATTTAACTGCAGTGCTTTTCCTAAATGAGTGCAGGGACCATGGGGAGCCCAGATAAGACTGAGTTGCCTCATCCCCTAAGCTCAGCCCCAGGTCTCACTCACAAGGGTGAGGGTGAGAGGGAACAGAGGAAAGAAAACTTCTGATTGAATTACTCTCATCAGATTTTAACTAGAGAATCTCCAGGGTCCAGCTCTGCCATGTCAGTGAACATACATAATGACATATATGACTATGTCCTAGGTCATGGAGCCACAGTGCAGCCCCAAATCCCCTGACACAGGACAGGATGGAAGAACAGTGTTTTCCAGTCTCTTCATTCTCCATACACCAACGATGAGAGTGGGGTGTGAGGAGGCAGGGTGAGAAATAGGGGCCTGGCTGGGGCACTGAGGGGGTGCCTATGCTCCTCAGACATAGTTTTCTAACAGATGGGGAAAAAGGAACAAGTGCTGGCAGGATCATGAGTCAATGGAATTATTTCCTGAGATCATTCCTTGGTCAGTATATCCCCACCCCTCCACAACTCTCACAACACACCCAGCTGACCAGTACCGTCCTCAAGCATTTGGCAATCAGGTAGGAAATGAAACTGAAACCCTACACACAGGAAAAGTCCAGCTAAAATAAACCCTGCCTAGTAAGCACACTCACCTTGATCCCATTAAAATTGTCAACAGCCAGAATTGTGCTCCTCTGGTCTTCATAGCAAAGGAAACAGAATCCTTTGGATTTCCCAGTCTTCTTGTCCCGTACCAGATTAATGTTAACAATCTCCCCATATCTATTTATTTTATAAAAGAGTAAGACACTATTGATTTAAAATGCAAAAACTTTCAGACTGGACGACAAAACAAAATTCAAGTAATATAGTCTATACAGGACATACATCTAGAAGATGATATAGAAAAGTTAAAAATAAAATCAGGCAAGGATACAGCAGGAACACAATTAAAAAGCAGGTGGGATACTTGAAACCAATATAGGATTGTATATCAATGATACTTCATTTAAAAAAATGGGTGGTAATATTAAGATAGATGAATTCAAGAGAAAAACAACTTTTAACAGGAGTAAGAAAAGGGGCTCTTTTATACGGAAAAAGGCCCTAATACATAACGAGAGTATAAGTCTTAAAATTCATGCATAAATTAACAAATCAAAAGTTTTAATATAAAAAGACTATTAGAAATACAAAGAAAAACTAATAATGGAAGTTATGAGATTTTTCACATCCCATAAAGCTTAAAGTTTGTAACATATAAAGCTGATAAAAATAAGATCAGTGGAATTAATATATGATTATGTAATATAAATACACAAAAATAACAATTATATTGTGAACAAATACTAATGTCAGATGAGTAGATATATAGAATCTTAGAAAAAGATGCCAATTTCTTCTCAGGAACCCATGAAACATGTATTAAACATGACTACAGAATAGGTCTTAAAGTAAACTTCAATATCCTCTAAAATTAGAATAGACCATGTTCTCCAATCACAACATTGTAAAGCTGGAACTAATACTTTAAATAAAAAATATTCTACTAATTAGAACTTGAAATCTACTCTCCTAGCTAACATAATGGATGAAAGAGAAAGTGAAACAAATACAGAAAAAAATCAATGGCAAGATACTTAGAAAATAACAAAAATGAGAAGAAGAATATATACCAAAACCATTGGGATATGGCTCAGCAAAACCTATAACCTTAAAAAATTGTATTGTTAAAAAAGAAAAAAATAAATATAGAAGAAAACAAATCTAAGGAAAGCAGATGGGAGTTAATAAAGATAAAAGCAAAAATAGATTAAATCGAAAATGGAAAAAATTCTACCTTATCCCTTATATAACTGTAAATTACACATAAGTTAAAGCTTCATAAATTAAAAAATAAAGTCATAAAAATAAAATAGGAACTAATGGATTACATTATAACATGACCACATACATACACTTTGGCCCAAAATCTAACATCTTACTTAATAGAAAATAATAGCTTTCCCTCACTATCATAATGTTCACTTTAAGCCACTTTGCTTTTATGAAAGACCCACCTTAGTACTTGTTTTTGCTGACCAAAGGAAATCCAAAGAGGATTTTTGCGGTTAGGAAATGGTAATTGCTTCTGGAGGATGGGGGAAACGTGTACCAGAGACTATTCAACTTAAGGTCAAGAACTATTTAAAACTATTTACTATTGTAGGTATTGAAGAAAACAGATATAAGAAATGAAAAAGAAGTAAAACTATCTGTTTGAAGACTATATATGATATAGTACATATAGAAAACCCAAGAGAATCAATGGCGATGTTAAAAATGTTATTCTGAGTGTAACAACCGATTTAGGGATATAAAGTTAACAAAAATAAATTACCCTCTTACACACAAACAATAATCAGTGATCAGAAGACATAATGAAAGAGAAACCCCATTGGTAATAGCAAAAGAGAAAAAGGACAAAATACTTAGAAATACACTTAACAAGCAATGAACAAAGCCTATATAAGGAAAACATTTTGAAACTCTTGAAACACATAAATTTAAACAAATATAAAGATATCCCCTGTTCTTTGATAGGATGACTCAACATAAACATATCAAAATATTCCCCAAAGTAAATATTAAATTTAATATAATCCCAATTAAAAATACAAGTTGTGGTTTTCGTCCCCCCTGGAGATGAGTAAGTTGATTCTAAAGTTCTTCTGGAAAAATTGATCATGTAAGAATAGCTGGGAAAACTTTAAAAAAAGAACAATGAGGGGAAGTAACTCTCCCAGTTACTCAACACACTGAAAAGCTTCTATGATTAATTAGTGTAGTATGAGCACATGGAGAGACAAACCATGGAACAGAATACAAAGCCAAGAAAGACACGTATTTATGGAAAAATTAGTTGTGATAAGGGTGATGTCCCAATTTTCTGAGGAAAATATGGATGTTTCTATAAATGTTGTTGGGACAACTGGATAGCCATTTGAAAAAAACATGAGATTGGATCTGCAATCTTATGTCAGAATATCTACATGTATGCATCAGAATAACTCTAAATGGATCAGAGATTTCAATGCCTAAAATTGAAACCATACAAACACTAAAAGAGTACACAGGTGGGTGGGTGGGGAAAAATACTTTCTAATTATGACTAAAAATCCAAAAACAATACAAGAAAAGATGTATCAATTTAACCACATAAAATACTAGAGGGGAAGACTATAAAGGGATATAGCATAAGGGAGTTTTGGGGAAAATGGAACTGTTTTTCATCCTAATTGTGGGGGTGATTACACAAATCTATACTTGTAATAAAACTTACAGGACTGTACATAACCTAAAAAGTCAATTTCACCATACAATTTACAAATATGAATGAATATACAAAAAATTTTTTAAATAACACCAGCAAAAAAAAGCAATAAGCAAAGTCAAAAGATAAATGACAAACTAGGAGAAAATATTTATAATTTATATCACAGATAAAGGACCAAAAAACAATTTATTTCCTTTTGATATTAAGGGCATTACTGGGACAACTTCTGAAGTTGAATCAAGTCTATATACAGATAATAACATTTTATCCATATTGATTTCCTGAACTTGATCACTATACTGAGGTTAAAAAAGAGAATGTCCTTTTTTTTAAGGAAATACACATTGAAGAACTTAGGGATAAATGGACATCACATCTACAACTGACTCTCAAATGGTTCAGAAAAAAATAATATCTATCTGTAGAAATAAATAACGACAAAGCAAATGTGGTAAAATGTTAACATCTACAGACTCCGAGTGAAGGGAATACAGGTATTTTTTAATACTATTTTGTAACTTGTCTTTTTTAAGCCTGGAATTATTTCAAAATATAAGCTAAAAGGAAAAAAGAATATAGGAGTTGACTTGAAGGGACTCCTACAGACCAAAATGGGAAAATTTGAGCATCAGGAAATAAAAACACCAATGCAGTATAACACATCAAATTAAAAAAAATTAAATCCACAGTAAACAATGCATGACAAAGTATTACAGCAAAGAGTTAATATCCTTAATACATGAAAGGCTCTTGTAAACTCAGTAAGAAAATGAGTAGCATACTGAAAGAAAAAAGTAGGCAAAGGCAAAATAGACAATTTAGAAAGAAAAAGAAATACTAATAGCCTGTAAATCTATGAAAAGATGTTCAACCTCACTGATGATGAAATAAAGGCAAAGTTAAATAATAATGAGAAGCCACATGGCAAATATTTTTTAAAATAACTATTGCTCATTCAGATTCTGAAAAATGGGCATTCTAGTGAGAGTGGAAACTGGCGGAACCTTTTCTGAGAGCAACCTGGCACTGTTTATAAAACATCTTAAAATTGCTAATATATTGATCCAGTAATTTCACTAAGGAAACCATCAGAGATGCATGTGAAGATGTATATACTACACTGTACACTGAAGTATAATTTATTAACAGCAAAATAGTGGAAATAATTCCCAACATTTTTTTAAAGATGATAAAGAAATATACCAAAATGTTAACAGATTTTCCTTCAAGTATATTCTATTTTTTTACTTATATTTTACTTTTTAGCCAAATGTGCTATAATGATTATACATTACTTTGAAAATCAGAAAACAAAATATTTTTTGAAAATCATTGTTAAGAGTGGCAAAGGCAATCTTCAGGAGACCAATGTGTGTGGTCAAAATAGAGAATCGGAATAAAAACACATACTAACTCATTAGTCAATGCAAATAAAACAAAACCACTCCTATATGGAAGGCTGGAACCACGGAGACATAACACGAAAGAATGGAAATTACAGGCTGCATCTGCTGTGAACTTCCCAACACCCAGAAGTTGGAGGAAGCAGCCTCTCTCCTTGCCAGGACTCTCTGCCTCTGTTGGGCTGCCCAGGCCCTCCACCATGGCCTTCTTCTCACTTGTACTGCCCAATTCCTTTTTGTGGCTTTCTGCCCTATATGGTGCCCAACCACTCAGCCAGGGCCCCCTGCCAGTAGGATGACCCAACCACCCCCTGCAATGGCAATGCCTCTGCCAGCGTGTGCTGGCTGTTCACTTGCCCAGTCCCTATTGCCATGATCCTCTGCCTATACATGCTAAGTTCTCTGCAACAGTCCTATGCCTCTGAAGACTGTACAACCCAGAGGCCCTGGCCCTCTGCTCCTATGAACTCCCAAGGCCCTCTGACCCTATAGACTATCTAACCACTCTGTCCATCTGTGGAATTGTGCCTAGCCCCTCTCCTACCAGCTACCACAACCAGTGTGAGCTGCCAAGACTCTCCCACCCAGTACTGTGCCTGTCATCTCATAGCAGAATGAATAATGGAAGGGTCTCCTGTTCATTCTTATTTCTCATCAGCCCGTGATTCTCGGCCTCTGGATAGAGATTGATTCTGCTCACACTCATCTAGGAACAAAGAAAACAAACTACTGCTTAAACTTTCTGCTTTTTTCCCAGTTCCTCTGTGCTTTACCTTAATCCCATAATGCCACACAGGTGTGGGCCCAGAAAGGCCCTGTGATCATGGTTTACTCCTAGTTTGTAGGTGCCTCAGGAGATGGGCCAACATACTATCTTCCTGGAAGTTCCACTCTATTTAAGTGTAGGCCCAGGCTGAACAAGCCTCAGTGAAAAATCAATAAAAATGGACCAGAATCCCAAAGACGGCCTCCTAAATCATACAACTTCTTGGATTTTCCACATTGGGAGAGTTCTAGAACTATGTCCTAGGACTGATCTACACTAGAGCAGAAGCCCCAGCCCTTCCATGCAGGGAGGCCAGTCAGCCTGGAATTAAAACGAATGGCTTTTGAGAGGTCACAAAGTGCATTATGGAAGCAAACTAGTCCAATGGCCCAGAAGGTAGGAAATGAAAGACTTACTGTGAAAACACACAGATGATATCCCCTTCAGTCAATTGATAAGGAAGCCCTCCTAGAAGAGAAAACCGCATTTCAATTCAACATTTACCAAGTGTCTACTATGTACTGTACACTAGGTTAGGCACTGGGAGACAAGAAAGAGTAAGTCACAGGGCCTGCCATCAAAGAACTCACAGTGTGATGCACTGACAGAAGCACATGTAAGGTGCAGCAGTACTACAGAAAAAAGAGCAATTAACTTTGAGTGGAAAGCTCAGAGTCACCACTAACCCAACTAATCCTCCTCACACCCAGAATCTTATGGACAAAGATAGTTTCCAGCACAAAACTCTTCTTCCACAACCTTGAACTCATCTCTTGACTCACAAATTCACAGCTAAAACCCAAAATCAGTTTAAATATGTAAGTATTAACCCCACCTCACACAGACTAGGGATTATAGAGACAATTGTTAAGCATTCCATAGGAAATAAATTCCTCTGCAAATGTTTCCTTCTTCAGCTGTCATATGGGGATATTAGTACTTACCTCAGGGAATTCTTATAAAAATTAAATAAAACAATGGATATAAAGTGCTTAGCACAAAGTCTGGTGTAATAACCTCTTTGAACAAACTGTCAAATTACTGGATGTGACAATTTATATATAGATAGTAATATGGCCATGGACAGAAGGGAGGAGCTAATTAAGTGAGGAAAATGAGGGAAAGGGAAAAGGGGAGGGAGGGGCGGTTAGCAGTAATATGGGATGGTGGTTAAGATCGTGAGTTCTAGAATTCCACTCTTCTAGCTGTCCCACTTACTGTACTATCATGAGCACTGTACTGGCAGAGAGCGCAAACTAGAAATGCGGGAGGAAAGAGATATGGAAAACGGATTTATGGGTAAACAGAAAAAGGAAATAAAAGTGGGTGATGAATGTCGGGAGCAATGAAGGGTCAGGCACGCTAAAATATTAGGAAAGCATAAGGAGCACTGCCAAATAAAGATATGGACCTCACCCAGAAATATCCAGGCGCTATCCTTGTACTCGTTGTGCCAGGACACTTTATCCGCCACCCCAAGCTGGACCTCACGCTCATTTAGTTCATTGATCAGCTTCACTTTAGTTAAAGGGCTGCACAAGAGGCAGAAAAGCGGACAGGTAAGTGCGGCCTGGCCTCGGGCGCGGGAGCACAAAACTAGGGGACTAGTTCTCTAGTCTCTGCACTTCTCCCGCCCCGCGGCCCGGCAGTCTGAGGTGGGCGACCCCACCTTAGAACACAAGCTCCCTGAGATGGAAGCTGAGGCCTTACTTCATATCCGTAGATTCGCGCTCAGCTACAAAGTCTCGACTTCCTAGAGAAACTAAACGGCGCGTGCGCAGCCCCGGCGCCGCGAGCTCATTGGACTGCGCTGAGCTCGCGTCGCGCTGAAACAGCTGCGTCGCGCTGAAACAGCTGCGCCGCGCCCGCGCCTGTGGGGCGCCTGCGCAGTAGCGGGCGAAGCGGCTGTCAGAGCTCAGTTTGGTTTGCATTTCCGGACAACTTTAGTCCCTCGCTTCCTCCGTTTGTGGAACGGGGGAACCTGGTTTGTTACAGGACCGTAGCGACGTCTGGCATTGATTAGGTCAGCTATAAATGTTTGCTGAATGGACACCGAAACAGGTGCCCGATATAACTACTTTTGTCCCAGCCTTTGCTCCCAGGGCGAATCCCCACTTGGGCCTTCGCTAGCAGCCAACCGCCTACACACACACACACCCATCAAAGAAAGCATACCTGTTCAGGAGATACAGCCGAAAAGTGAGGAAGATACGTGAGAGGGTAAATCTTTTGTCCCTCAAATCCTAATGTATATGCAACTGACCAGAGTGCCGCTATAGGCTGAATTGAATACCCAGATTTGTGTGAGAGCTGCTACCCTCACCCTTTTACATAGTCTCCTACTTAAGCAGGGGACAGAAATTAATATTATTAAATTTATAGCTAACAGCTGAGCAGATAATGCTGGATTATATAAGTGGTAAGCAACTCACATGTATTGGCCCTCCAGTCTCACAACCCCATGAAGTTTATAGTTACAATCACCATCCTCATTTTATAGAGGAAGAAACAGGTTCACAAGGAATTAATTAGCTTGAAAGGTCCTCTGCCTCTACCCATCAGGTCTAGTTGATTTAAACAAGCCTTACTGACCATCTGTGTCCAGTACAGCAACTCTGTAGACAGCAGTGTAAGTGTTAGCTCCTCAAGCTGCTAATATCACTGAGGAGACAAGATATAGTCCCTGGATAGATTCCACTCCAGAAATAACTGGGAACCCATAGAAGAGATGGTGGCATATAATGTGTGATTTAAACCATACTGAAGATTTGAATCTAACTTGCACGTGTCCACATCAATATATCTGGTCTCAGACCATGCATGGTCTAACTGAATTTACAGAGCTGTGCAGTTCTCTGTATAGGCCTAGCACAGAGCCCCAGAAATCAGGCACTTCATAAAAGCACTTTGATGATGATGATGGTGATGAATACATCTGTACCCTCAATGGCTCAACATGTATCCCGTGTCCTGCCAAGAAGCAGAACAGAGGCTGCCCATCAAATATGGTCTCTCTCTTCATTCATGCTGTGTGTGTGCCCCCACCAACCCAGCTATTCATTAACTTTGTAGAATTATCTTGGCAATGAAAACTAAATAATGACAGATTGCTAACGGATTTTATCTGCTCCTAGGAACCTTAGGTTACTCAGTTATAGAGTAAAATAGTCACTGCAAAGTGGTAAACTAGCATGCAGCATTATCTGACTGGTTTTTTTAGATGACTGTTAAATGAGAGAATTGGGAATATACCTGGGCCTTGGTCATAAGAGTACAAAAGGAAGCTGAAGCAAAAGAGAGTAAGACCAACCAAAAGGAAGGACAATTTAAGTTGAGGAAAACATGTGAAAATTGCTACTGTCCAGCTGGTGGGTTCAGCAGAGATATTCTGAAGTTGGGAGAGCTGAAAACCATCCCAGTTTGTCTGGGACACCTCCATGGAGGTGCTTGCAATTGGTAGGAATTTATAAGTAAGGTGATACCTAGAGATTTTCGTTAACGTTAAGTCTGAATGGAAAGATGATAGGGATCCACAGGACCTCTGAATTTAGTGTCTGCGAGGAGGACCAGGATCTGCCATCCAAGGTAGCTCCACCAAAAACATTCATTTAGCACCCACTGTATGCAGGCCACAGTTCTAGGTTCTATAGGCAATACTAAGGAAGCCAGAGGCCGTCTCCACATTCAAAGAAGGGCTGAACAGTATGTCCAGCCAAATCCACCTCTCCACTTCCCACCACCACACCACATCCCAAAATAGCTTTCCCTCCTGAGTTCCCTATTTCAGGCAATGTTATGACCATTTTCCTGATTGCCCAGGTTCAAAAAAAGAGGGGTCATATTTCAGTATTCTCTATTCCTCACCCAAAGACAGCTATCCAATTACCAGGATCTAATAATTGTGCTACTATGGTGTCTATAAAATGCACCTCATCCAGGCACAGTTCTATTTCAAGTTTTTATCACATACCTTCTAGCTCTTTCAGTACTCTTAAAAATGTATAGCTCCTCTTCTCCACTTTCTCCCACTGCTCCGCAACACAAAGCCTCAACTTCAACCCGGCTCCACTTCTATCCATTCCCTCAAGGGCTCCTTTCCTTATCAAACCTAGACACTTCTGCTGACAGAGACCCCTAACCCTGGGCCACTCTCCTCTCTGACTAAAATCTGCCCACGCTTCAAACTCTCAAGGTATCTCTCCTGCAGGAAACCTTTCCTGACCTCACCAGCCCACAGTGATGTCTCTTACTTCTGAACTCTGCAGCATATCACAACTATTATGTTCTTGGGCCAAGAAAGACTGTAAGGACCTGAAAGATAAAGGCTCTGCATTTTTAAGCCCTCAGCCGTCAAACCTCAAACCCTTTCCTGCACACAGAACAAGCAACCAATACAATTATTGTTAGTGAGATTGAAAATATACACAAATGGAGTTATCTCTAGGGAAAGTGAAGATGAGAGATTGAGACTTTTATTTTCCCTTTTTATACTGTTAGAATTTTCTTATGTTATCCAAATATCACTTATGTTTTTTATTGCTACTTTATCTTGGCAGAGAGATCATGAGCTTTGTTTTCTCACTTTATTGTTCATTCATTCATTCAACAAATATTTACTGAGCAACTATTATATATGCTAGACACTGTTCTAGGTACTGTGGTAAACGAGGAAGGCAAGCAGAGTTCTTGTCCTCACAGTTTACATTTTTGTTGGGGAAGAACAAAGATAGACATGCAAGTGATAGTTGAGCTGGGCCTTGAAGGCAGTTACCATGTAGATGAAAGACAGGGCATGGATGTCATGCAAAGAAAGCATTTTGAGCAGTACCATGAGAAGCAGCAGCAGAGGCAAAAGCATTGAAGCGTGAAAAGTGTATGGTGTGACCAGGGCATGGGATGGGGCAGGGCATTCCGTGACGATGGAAGAGATTCAGGCCATTTTGTGGAGGGCCTTGCAAGACAGTATAGGCGATGAAATTGTCGATTTTATTATAGATCACCTTAGAACCAGTATGGAGGATGGATTGAGGGCATGCAAGTCTTGATGTTTGGAGAACAGTTGGCTGGGATGGGCAGAGGCAAAGTCAACAGATTTCAGTGGCACAATATGCTGACTAACGTAGATGTGAGCAATGAGGAAACATGAGAGGATAATGCTTAGGTTTCTAACCTGAAACACTGGTAGGGGTAGTGATACTCACTGCCATGGTAAGAAATGCAGGGATGAAGACTGGTTTGGGAGAAAAGTTATGAATTCAGCTGGCAAAATGTCGAGGCCTGAGGAGCCCGGGTGCTGAACTGACATGAATGGCACAATCAGACCAGGTGGGTTGAGGAGTAGCGCTGGGCCACTGGAACTGAATGAAAAAGCATTCTTGAGGGATAACAGAAGCCCACCTAGAGCAGGAGTTCCCAAAGGAGTTCATAGTTGTTTCTAAGCAGGTCAGTCTCCAAACCAGTGACTGGTGCCCCACCCCCGATTCTTCAAAAGAGTCCACGCATGATCAGCTTTTACACTCCTCTCAGTCACTGTCACTGTTTTGAATCAGATTTTTTTCTTGGGTGTTCTGTTGCTGAGCCATATCAAAGGACAACATATTGAGACCAAGGTGAAGAAGCCAGTTACCAGGAGTGCCCAGTGAAACACTCATACAGAGTAGGAGACAGTTTGCAGATCAGAAAAAGGAGTATGTGGACCACACAGCGGAGAAACCAGATAACTGAGACGCATCATGATAAAGACTAAGGCAGATCAGTGATCAGAGAGACAAGGCAAGCAAAGCCCTCAAATATGAAGCACAGGTGGGCTTGTCTTGGCTAAAGCCACAATGACATCACATGTGGACTGGCAGTATTCTTGTGCATGGTGGGGGCTGGCATCCTTCATGAAGCTGGGCACAGGTTTTCAAAGCCATGTGATGATGCCACACAGCTTTCTCTATATCTCCAGTCAGCAATTTACATTCCTGTAACAACATTACAATTCTGGAGAGACCAAGTGGCATAATTAGAAGAATACAGACTTTGAGTGTGGCAGACCTGGGTTCAAATCCTACCCTGAGCCAGTTTGACTGGCTTCAATTAACTTCAGTGTGTTGGTAATAATATCACTTCACAGGGGTAGTTTGAGAATTAAATAAGATATTGCATGTAAAGTATTGTAATAAGAGGTAGATATTACTTATATGAATAATAATCTCAGATTCCAAATACCCCCAACCATTGTTACAACACTTCCACCCTTCTGCAACCCCCAAATCTTACCCCTGGATCTTCCCCAGGAAAAAGTTCGAAATGGCTGTCTGAGAGATGGAGACTGCAGTATAAAATGCAGGCTAGACTGGCCTCTGGACTTGCAGTCCTTGAAGAAAGGCCCTTCAAGAAAGACTTTCAATGAAAAAAGCAAGAAATATTGATTGAATATATAGTTTCTCCCCTCACCACATCCCCCATTCCACACGCTATGGGAATTAACCAAAAATATGCATGCCTTATCACCCAGCTCCTGCTCTGTAGAGGAGGGAAGGACTTCGCTGTACCAGTTCCAACAACATACATATGCAAAAGGAGTAAGAAAGTCCTGAGCCCTAAGTGGCAAATTAAAACATCTTTGTATTCACCGTGCTCCTCTGGCCTGCATGAAGGCACAGCTAAGATACCACACAATCAGAGCAACCCAGAAATGCCTAGAAGGATCTTTCCTTTTAGAGAACCCTTCCTATTTACATACCTTAACAGGAGCAAAGCCTTTCCAAGGATTGCTTTCTCCCCGCAGAGTGCCTGCCCTCTGCTGG